GGTGCTCCTTTTTTCTGTATAGACTTTAGCTGTTATCTCAGGGGGGTGATTCAATCTTTTTGTGTGTGTGGTGAAGAATTCTCATCACCCTTCACAAAAACAGGTGGGTTTAATTGGTACTGTATTTAATAAAGGACAGACAAGTTTCAGCAATAACTCCTTTCAACACAGGCTGTTGTTGTTGTTTTACTACAAACTTGATATACCTAGTCTACGGAACAATAAAAGTATTAGCATAGCTGGCTTGACAGAGGGCCCTCCTTGTTGCCCTTTACCAGAATTAAGTTTGCTGCAGTTTGTGTGAATGTTGGCGATTTTATCACCAAAGCAGAGTATTCTTAAGTTATATTTAAAGCAAGATGCTATCTTAGATGTGGGTTAGCACTCTTATTTCTCATTACAATCAGCAAAATGTGGTACTGTGGGGTATTATTATTTTTACTCTGCAGAGTTTTGAATCTTAAATTAGAAATTTGTTTTCTTAATGCAAGGATCAAATAATATTTACAAAAGTATGGTTTTTGTTTCATCTTATATTGAGTTGTTGTGGCTCTACAGGCTTCCAGGCAGGTGTTTTCTCAGGCCCGCCTGGATATTCTGGGGATTGAACCAGAGATTTTTCATGCAAAGGAGATTACTACCCTTTCATAAGTAGTAGCTATATTTTCCCCAAGGAAACATACTACACTCCTGTTGGCTTTCATGCTTTTGGCAATCAATAAACAAAAACAAACCCCAGATGCACTTTAATAGCTATGACGAAACTTTTAGTGGATGCGTTTTATGTCCCTGTTTAGTATGCTAGTGGTCATTTAAAAATTCTCATTTCTTTGATGTCTCTTTTACTCCCCAGGACTGCCTAGATCGATCCTTCCGAGCAGAGGTCTACAGCTGCCCAGCCTGCCGTTATGATCTTGGCAAGAACTATACAATGCAAGTGAATGAACTGCTGCAGACCCTCCTGAGCCAGCTCTTCCCTGGCTATGGCAATGGACGGTGATTCCAAAAAGCACTTCTAATTTCATTAAGATTTTTTTTTTTTAAAGCAAAACCTTGTGGGGTTTTTTGACGGGGTTTTATTTAAATAAATAGCCTTTCAGAAAAAAGCTGTCACTGTCGTCTCCCTTCCCTGAAAACTATAAAGGTTGAGGAACCTGCTTATGTATTTTTGTAGTAATGATTGCATCTTTTTTTTAAGGAAACCTTCATGGTTGTAGGAATTGCAAATTTCTCATTGTGTGCTACTAAAATCTACAGAATTGCAGTTTTTTTAAAAATGGGGTGTCATTTCCTTTTAAAACTAAAAACCTAGTACATGGCTTGGTTGCTAGAACAATCTCTTTGATCTATGGATTTTTTTACTGTTAAGTTTGATGCTCTTGATCTTTTTGTGGCAGCATTTTTTTAAAAAAACTGTTATCACAGCATTTTTTACGATTGCCGGTTTAGGACCCGCCGCAGTGATCATTTGAGACCCCTTGATTCTTGGAGTGTTGACATTTTTTGCTAAAAGCCCTCTTCTCTACTGGTTACTTGTCTTAACCGCCTTTATGTAAAAGTTACTACCTCAGTCTCCACATTTAATCAGCCAGGTGTTGCTTCCTACTTAATAGTGCCATATGGGAACACACAAAAGCCATTTGGAAGTGCCTTTTTACTGCTTTTTTTTTGCTGTGAAAGACTGAGCTTTGAACATTGGGAAAGCACTGAATTTTCTAAACTGCCAACAATTTTTTTGCTCCTGGGATTCAAAAATGTCACTACCGCTGCTCTAGATCATTAGCTTTAGATCAGTGTCCTGCTTTGTGCATGTCTGAATATTCCTTTTTATCTTACTTAGAATGGGAAATGAGACATGGAAAGGCTTGGTTGTATATTCGGTGGTTGGTCATTCTTGCTTCAAACAGTACCAAACCCTTACAGTTCAATACCTCAGGATAAAGCAGAGTTGATACTAAATCACTCTTCACATCATACAGACTGGAATAAATGTGCTTGTTTAACTTTTTTAGCCTCTTTACCTCCTTATAAATGTATAATATTGTTTGGAAACTTTTATGACTTTTGAATTATGCCACAGTTTTGTACAAACAAAAGTTCTCAAAAATAAAATACCTTTTCGTATCAAAGAGAATGTGCTTGATTAAATTTTGGAATTCGGTTTTTAGTTTGGTGATGATTAGATCTGTGTGGCTGGAGATCTAGATAACTTTTAGTCCAGCTGTTGCTCCCCCTACCCCACACTTAATCAAGGAGTTGACAACCTTATCTTGAAATAGCTGGCTGCCTGTTTTTAGCATGTGGTATAAACACTGGTTACAAACTGAGGAAAAATGCTAGCAGCAGCAGCAATTTCAGAGACGGTGAGAAGATAAATTTGTGTAAAACTTTTGTTGTTGTTCTTGATTGCATAGCTTGTTGTGGAAGAACTAACTGATTCATAAAGGTCCAGACTATGCTCCAAGTTGGTGCCCTCCAGATTTTTCAGATTAAAACTTCATTTTAAATATAGGATTGTCTTTAAATTTCCCTTTTTCTTTTATGTATGTATCCGTCTGTCTTATATATTGTAGGTTGCTGTTACAAGTAATAAAACTGCTCCTTTCCCATTATGGGGTACCCAAGAGCCCATATAAAGTTCTTTTGTAGGTTCTCTATCGGTAGGAGAAAATAACATGCAGGAGGGAGGAAGAGGACCCAGAACAAAGGTGTGCAAGCCCTTATATAGACATTTTAAATTGCCCACCTTGGAGTCCAAGACCACCTGAAGCAAAGTTCTTAACCCAAGGTAATATTTCTGGATTAGTGGAGTCTGTAACCTGAAGCGTATGTAACCTGAGGTACTACTATACCTGATTGCATTATTTGGATTTTGGGCATGCTATTGTTATTATAACTACTTAATTCCTGAATCTAGGTCATAGGTCACAGGCTCACACCCTGTTCATATCTTTAATGTGCCCTGAGGACAGGATTTGTGAGGAAAGAGACAATGGGGAGGTTTCCCACTTTGACCTTGCAGAGAAATATTTGAGGTCAATTTGTTCAGGATCTAATCTGGGGTTTCAGACATGTGGTTTATATATACAGTTATGAACACTTAGAAGAATCTTAAGGTCATATATAAAAAACTAACATCACCTTGGTAAAAAGGGGCCAATAAATGTAATTATTAATAATAATAATATTCCCATCAGCCCCTGCCTTCATCCCATAGTCCCTTTGCAAGGGATCAGGAAGTTATTGTCCCTCATATGGACTACGCCTCCCATCATCCCTGACAATTGGCCATGCTGTCCGAGGCTGATGGAGATTGTAATACCAAACATATGGAAGGCACCAGCTTGTGGAAGAATAGTTATGTTACAGAAACACAAAGAGTGGATTGTACTTTCTGAGGCCAAGATTATTAAACTTTGGAATTTGCTATCCAGTGTTGAGGGACAATTCTGGCTCTTAAAATATTAAGGTTCCCTGTCCTGAGGAGTAATTTCCAATGGACACAGAAGGATAGATGCTAAGGCTCACAATGCAAGACGTTTGTTGGAACTGGAGCTTTTCTTGCTTACAGTTGTTCATCATAAGATGTGAACTCCTTAGACTTCCAGTTGGTTGGCTTTGGTTGTGATTCTAAGGGCTCCTTCCAATGCATGTAGTGTGATTTATGTTTCAGGGCAATGGCTTACACTTTGGCTGAGAGATTTAAAAAATGCAGTGGTCAGTGCTGTAGTCTTAAGGACACGGAGGACCACATTCTCTTTTTAAAACAAGGCTATGGGGTAAGATAATAAATCAACTCTTCAACAGGTGGCTATCCAACATCTGCTTGAACATCTGCAGCATATAGATCTCCTCTCCCTGTAGGCCGTTGGCTCCATGAATTTCTCTTTATCCTCCATATCTTAAACTGAGTCTACCCTCCTTACTGTTATGTCCATTTGATCTAGTCTGGCCTCTTCTCTGTAGGAGACCCTCAAGTATTTGACGAGGGTCCTATGCACGCCCCACCCCACCTTTTCTAGATGAAACACCCTTCCTTCTGAAACCTGTTTCCATAACCAAATGATGTGTTTTCCTTGCCTTCTGAGCCAATTCCTGTTTCGTTTTGAACTATTCTGCATTTTTTATTTTGTCCTTTCTCTTCCAAAGAATACCAATACCCTACAACACATCTGGGGACGCGGGTGGCGCTGTGGGTAAAAGCCTCAGCGCCTAGGGCTTGCCAATCGAAAGGTCGGCGGTTCGAATCCCCGCGGCGGGGTGCGCTCCCGTTGTTCGGTCCCAGCGCCTGCCAACCTAGCAGTTCGAAAGCACCCCCGGGTGCAAGTAGATAAATAGGGACCGCTTACAAGCGGGAAGGTAAACGGCGTTTCCGTGTGCGGCTCTGGCTCGCCAGAGCAGCGATGTCACGCTGGCCACGTGACCCGGAAGTGTCTCCGGACAGCGCTGGCCCCCGGCCTCTTGAGTGAGATGGGCGCACAACCCTAGAGTCTGGCAAGACTAGCCCGTACGGGCAGGGGTACCTTTACCTTTTTACTAGCGGGAAGGTAAACGGCGTTCCGTGTGCGGCTCTGGCTCGCCAGAGCAGCGATGTCACGCTGGCCACGTGACCCGGAAGTGTCTCCGGACAGCGCTGGCCCCCGGCCTCTTGAGTGAGATGGGCGCACAACCCTAGAGTCTGTCAAGACTGGTACCTTTACCTTACAACACATCTGTATGAAGGGCAGATTAGGAAAGCAAACGCTCATCCTGCGCATTTGAACTTGGGCGATCCTTGGGAGAGTCCCCAAGCCCAAGATCCCCTCCCGGCAGCCTCAAAAGCATGCTTTTATGATTTGCAGTACTGTAGTGACCTTCGGCCCCCATTTATATTTACATTGCCCGCTCCTTGCTCATAGAACTCTTTTGAATAACAATGCATTGTGCCAAGGGTGTGGGGTGCAGATTGCGGGAGGTGAATTGGAGAGATTTTTTGGGGGGGGGGAAAGGGTGCAGATCTTCTCTTGATCTAATTTGCAAACCAATTCTCTCCTCCCCTCCGGGGCGCCCGCGATGCTGGAAAAGCAGCCAGCCGGCCCACCGGCCCCTCCCTCATTGGTTCCCATAACCCTGCAGCCCCCTCCTCCTCCTGCACGCTGATTGTGTGTGCACGTCCTCACGTAGGCCGCCGGTGCTGGCTTTCCCATCCAGCCCAGTGCGAGAGGAGGAGGAGGACCCAGAAAAGGGCGTGTCCCGTGGGCTACCTTAAGCCTCGCCCTCTACCCAATCAGAAGCGGAGCTTGCCACTGACCTCCTTCCCCCGCCTTCCTCATTGGTCCTGCGGCTCAACCAATACCGGAGTCGGAGAGGGAGAGGGCGGGGGAAAGGCTCGAGAGCTCTTGCCATTGGGCTGAACCAGAAAAAAAGAGAGAGAAAGGGGCGTGGCTTGATGGAGAGCGAGAAGGAGGCGTGGCCAACCGCGGCGGTGTTTTCCTCCCCCTTCCCCCCCGGAGTTGGTCCTCGCGCCTGCCCTTCACTCGCCAGCCGGCCAGCCAATCTCGCGCGCGGCGGAGGGCGGGACCTCCTCGGCCGTTGGAGGAGGAGAAGATTGGCAACGGCCGCTGGCGGAGGCGCCCCTCCCCCCCCATCCCTCAGCCCCAACTGCTTCACCCCCGGACCTGCCTCCGAGGAGACCCGTTGGAGGCCGCTGCGGCAGCGTCGTCGTCGTGGTCGCCGGCCCCGGGAAGGCCGAGAGTGTTGGCGAGTGTGGTAAGGGCCTTGCGGCGGCGGGGGCGGGGGGCGGCGTGTGTGGAGGTGTCGGTGTGGCTGTCGCTCTTTATCGCGACGGGAGGAGGAGGAGGGGGGGGCGTTATCGCTTTATGTCTTATTTTACCTCAGGGGAAGGGGGCCGGGCCTGCGGAGAGCTGGGGGGGGGAGGGAGGGGATTCCGCCGCCGCCGCCTCGGAACGGAAGCCCCGCCTCGCAACGCCGTGCGTAGCTCCTTCTGTGAGGGAGGCGCTCGGGGTCGCTCGTTCTTTTTACCTCAGGAGGAAGGGGCGCGGGGACCGCTTCCCTCATGGGACTCCCCCCCCCTTCCCTCAAATCACAAGTTTTGGGTGAGCAGGGAGGGGGAGATCAGTGTCGAAAGTCAAGACCCCCAGACGCTGCGCTGCCTTCCCCCTTACTTTGTAAATAAAACATATGTGAGGGAGAAGTGGGTTTGCAGCACTGGGTCACGCTCTGGCGTGACTAGGAGACCCGCTTGCCTCTTTGTATTATTGTTTGTGGGGTGTTTTGAGGGTTGTACAGTATGTATTTCCAGTGTTGGAGGAGAGTTCAGGAGTCAATAGCAGGTCAGTAGATACCTGCGCGCACACACACACACACACAGAGACATATAGAAGGCGAATTGCATGCACACACGCACACATAAATAAGAGGCGAATTGCATGCACAAACACACATGCACACGAGCAAACATAAATAAGAGGCGAATTGCATGCACAAACACATGCACACACACACATAAATAAGGCAGATCGCATGCACAAACACATGCCCACACATAAATAAGGCAAATTGCATGCACAAACATGCACACGCACACATAAATAAGGCAGATCGCGTGCACAAACACATGCGCACACATAAATAAGAGGCGACTTGCATGCACAAACACATGCATACATAAATAAGAGGCGACTTGCATGCAAACCATACATAAATAAGAGGCGAATTGCATGCACAAACACATGCACACACACACATAAATAAGGCAGATCGCATGCACAAACACATGCACGCACACATAAATAAGGCAAATTGCATGCACAAACATATGCACACGCACACATAAATAAGGCAGATCGCGTGCACAAACACATGCACACACATAAATAAGAGGCGACTTGCATGCACAAACACATGCACATGCACACATAAATAAGAGGCGACTTGCATGCACAAACACATGCACACATATATAAATAGGCAAATTGCATGCACACACACACATGCCCACGCACACACAAATAAGAGGCACATTGCATACACAAACACATGCACACATATATATGATAGGGATACATGCACATCAATAAGAGGCAAATTGCATACACAAACACACATGCACACATATAATAGGGATACACACACACATATCCCTATACACACACCAAAAACCCGCACATATATAATGGCAAATATATACTAATATATACACATTTATGTATAAATATAATAGCATATTATTGAATCCCAAATGTCTCAACTTACTGCCTCTGTTCCATCAACACACACATGTATATATCAAACCAAGTCCTACTCTGGGTATACCCACCAAATTATTTATTGAATTTATTGGTTGTTGTTTTTCTTTTAACCTGGGCAACTCAAAAGTGTCTAACGTGTCCTGTTCACTTCAGGGGGTCTGCTCTTGAATGGAATTTAGCTGGACACGGGTGTTATATAGTATTAAGTTGTATCCAGTGTTAGTCAGTGTAGACCCATGGAAATGAATGAATGTTACTAGCTTTGGGCCTATCATTTCAATAGGTCTGAGTGAAACTTGGATATGTATAAAACACAATGAATAGAGTGCATCATAGTCGTAGTAGAGATCCATTGAAATAAGTGAAGATGGCTAACTTTGGTTCTTTAATAGTGGTCCTAGTCTGAGCAGAACAGTTTGTTAAAAGTTAATGGTTTAAATGGTAATTGTTGCTTTTTTATGGGTTGTATCCACTCATATTCAGAGCAGACCCACTGAAATTAAAAAGCACGACAAACTTGGATCAGTTAATTTCAGTGAGTCTCCTTTGACAAACACCGGCTACCTTGGCCTGAAAAGCGAGCTGAGCGCTGCACTCCATAGTCGCTTTTGACTGGACTTAACTGTCCAGGGTCCTTTACCTTTTTACCTTATTTATAATAACTGTATTTGAGATTGTTACTCTTTTTCAAGTTGCCTGTGGGTCTTTTTGTCCTCACTGTTAGTGTGGTGAATGTAAATCTGGCGATGTATTATGTAAATTGATGACGATAGTAGTCTATATTGTGTTGTTTTAGTTTTGTTCTAAAAGTATCTGCTATTTGTGTGTAATTTTTTTGCTGTTTTGTACATTGTACAAGGCAATTAATAAAACAATGACGATGATAATAAATTGGAGAGAGTGAAACCACAAGATTCTTGTCTTTGTGTAGCAGAAGCAACAGGCTTAATCTGGGGACCTCCTCATCTGTACTATTATAGAAAGAGTTTACAGCAGTTTGTCTTATTTGGAGATGGGAAGGTAGGAAAGCCTGCTCACAATGTTCTGACACTATGTACTATAGCCAAAAGAGACCCCTCTTCTCCCTTCTCACCCATGTTATTACATAAGTGACTGAAAGTGAAAGCAACTTCACAACTTTCTTTCTCACTGAAGTGTGGTCAACAAGTACCAGCTGGGTGCTATCTGGGAGCTGCATTTGAGATTTGCAAGGCACCAGCTGCATTTTGCACCTGGCTATTGACCACTTGCGATCAAGTGAAGGTGCCAGGATGGCGCCTGACATCTCCACTATCTGGAGGTGTATACCTAGGGATCATTAGATCCTGACTGTTTTCACACACTAATACCGCATCCTAGAGAATTCTATCAGTTATCTTTTATCTGCACAATCAGAATGGCTTTTAGGAACCAAAAAGTCATATTGAAAAATACGGCTTAAGGAGCCATTTGGCACTCGGCTTTTATATCTGAATTTCTAACACTGCTTGTAGCCACTGACAAATTTATAATCTATTAATTTGTCCAATCCCCCTTTGACATCTTCAAAGTGACTGCCCACTAAATGTGGCAGCTGGTTTCTCTTCAGATGTACATGCGATAAATAAATTCTTCTGCTTACCTGCTTCAGAAAGCTGGAGGATAGGGCTGTGTGATATGTCAATTTATCGTCCAAAACTGGTTTGAAGTCCATATCGTAATGTTGGTTTCATAATTTTTGACCTGGCAATACAGTATATCACAAATGTGTGTGTGCTGTGCAAAAATCACAATGTGGGGAAAAACTGTGAATCCAACCAATGCTTCTTTCGATTCCTGCAGTCCCTGTTAACTCTGCCGGCTCAGCTCTCCCCAGCTTCAATCAGGGGGCAGCAATTCACAAGTTCAGGCACTGGCAAGAATCCTGATACAGGAAAAATTGTGAAGCCAGTTAATACGGCTACATAGTTCCATCCTTATTTCAGACATCGTGATATATTGGTATATTGTGATGTTTAGCTGGTGATATAGCGCAATGTTGAAAACCAGTTATTGCCCAGCCCTACTGGAGGGACCAACCAGATAGAGATGTCAGTTGCTAGCTAACCTGGCATCCAGAGATCTCCACGTGGTTGTAATTAGACCCACACCAGTCACAAAATGTGCCTGGTTTCTAATGCTGCTGCCAATCCAGCAACTCAAGTGTAACTCTGAGCCACAAGACGCTTCACAGGCAGATGAGTAAGCAACAACTTTTGAGATAAATGAAGGAACAGTGGGAGAAACTTAATTCTTAGATACCTTAGATAATGTGACATATTTTAGTAAGATCCAGGTTGGCACTTTAAGAGCAGCAAAATACATCCTGCTCTCGGTATGTAATTGATACAAGCCCTTCAAAAGCCACACTCCTGAGGTCTAAACTTTGAGCCTAATTATGGCCAACTAAATGCCAGCACCCAGTTTACAGTAACACAGTAGAGCATCCGACTAGAAAAATATTATTAACTACACAGCTGCTGCTGTTAACGAACAAATAAAAAGGAAAAGAGAGCACACAAGCATATCCAGTGTGGTTAGATAGTGTCTTTTGCTTTCTTACAGTGTAAGACTTGCATTTTTGCAAAAACAGACTCATCCATTAAAAAAAATTAAACATTTTACTTTATATATATTGAAGCAAATGCTTTGCAGAATATGAAATCAGTCTGTCTGGAGTTGTGTGTGTAGAGGTGAAGGTCACTTTCCTGATATGACGAAAAAGATCCAGCAAAGTTTCCCATAGGGCAAGTTGACCTAGTCAGAAGGCCAGATCCAGAAATGGCCAACTTTCCACAGACCACTTTGACAAGTGGATGGAGTCCACTACAGGTGATTTGAACTTCAATTAACTTCTGCAATACAAAAGAAACATTTGTTCCCAATTCTTCCTTTGAAGCCCTAGCCTTAATTCATCTGCAGCACCCAGGTTCTCTAGGGACCTTTGGTTGGCACACTTGTTTTTAAGTGTCAAGCAAGCAGCTAAGAACTTTTTTCATTTGCCAAATTTTTAGTGTGGGTGAAATTTCTGTCTCCCTATTTTTATTTTGCACCTGGTTTTCTTACCTGAAATTTATTTTTTTGGAATTTTGACTGTTTTCCTGTGTTTACTGAACTTTTTGTAAGCCTCTGTGAGCTTAATTTACTGTATAAAGAAAAACTGAGTATGTTTTATAGTATATATAGATGTAAATAGAAATAAAATACAGATGGTCAGATAGGGAACTGACCAAAAAATCTTTCCATTACTTGCACAATCACTGATGCATATTTTCAATAGCTGTACCTTTGCCTGAAGATCAATGCTTATATGATGCTAGAGCTAACATAAAGGTAAAGGTACCCCTGACCGTTAGGTCCAGTCGTGAATGACTCTAGGGTTGCGCGCTCATCTCGCTCTCTAGGGTGAGGGAGCCGGCATTTGTCCGCAGATAGCTTCTGGGTCATGTGGCCAGCATGACTAAGCTGCTTCTGGCGAAC